GGACAAGTTGTCCGAAAGCTCGGAAAATTAAAACCAACGAAGAAGAAACAAAACTGAGTATTGAAATAAATCACGTTSTTGGAACAATAATACTACATCTATATTTTAAATAAGTCTAATGGTGTGGGTCTTGTTTAAGGCCCAAGCTTTGGTCGTTCACCAGCACAAATGCTATATTCATCAGGTGTGTATAAATGGCCCTTCATTGATACATAAAGAGATTAGTGACCTAAACACGTTTGTCTTTTTTATTTGTAGATTTTTTTCTAAAACTGTTATTTATATTCAGGTTTGCCTAACTATTCCCATTCATCAACATCTCAGCCTGCATACACTACCGGAGTAGTGACCTTCCCTGAAGACCAACAACCACAACAACCTCCTGTCATTCACCCATCGCACRTCATGGAGCCAGCCCACTACTCTGATCAAYCAACAGGACGCAGAGCAGCAGGACCCATAAAGCAATTCTCTGAAGAGGAAATTCTAGACAGGTTTGCTTCCACTTCAATTATTATRCCTGCATGGATTTGACTGCTAGAAATTTAAAGGAAATTTTAGCAGCATTGAAATGCTTTATAAARTAAACCAATCAAGTCACAGCAAGTAAAGTGGCTAGTTTTGCTCATGAGCATCCTTCATAAATGTATTATTGTAATAAGGAACAGCACATAAACTGGTGTGATTCAAGAAAATTGGGTCAATATAAACACAGGTTAAGTCATTGCTATTTTAAAGGTAGTTTGAGCAATGTAACATAGGAAGACTTGCGATACATAGTATAACATTAGGAGTGACATTGTTTGTAATGGTAGTTTTTATTTTTCAGTCGTAACTTCCTGGGAGAGCACATTGACTACATTTCATCCAATTTAGACTCTCTTCAACAAATTTTAGCAAACCAGCAGACTTTGTTTGAGGCTCAGGGACTCAATGAGGTAGTTATCACATRTCTATTGTCATCCYKTTTRGTGTTCAAATAAAAATATAATCATCATTATTGTGCAATTTGAAACACCACTATTAAGGATAAATATAACTCCTCTAAGCCAATGAAATTGCACAATTTTATTCAACCATAAAACGTTTAAATGTTTGTCTTACGGGTTCTTCTTAAATGCTTGTGCATTATTGTGCCAGCATTTTGCTTCTGTGATAATAATAGTTGCATRGTTATTACATTTTTACAGATTTTAAATACTTCAGAAGGAGGAGGAGGAGCAAGCTCTGGATTTACTGGTTTACCATCACAACAGGTAAACGAAACGGTTCATTACTTCTGAAAAAAAAACAATACACCAACCTACAACTAACTACACTTAACTACACTACACTACACTACACTGCAACACACTACACTACACTGCCGCACTACAGGATACTAAACGTCACTACACTAAACAAACCTATACACTACACTATACTACACTAACCTATACACTACACTACACTAACCTATACACTACACT